CAACATCACTCACAAGGCAGTGAGGGTCAGTTCAATGTCATAACCAGGACATAATAATATTATTAATATATAAATTAATATTATGTATTAATATTAATATAATATTAATATTATATTAATATTAATATATATATATTAATATATATATATATATATATATATTAATATATATATATTAATATATATATATATATATATATACAAACATTATTGAAGATATATGCCCATTTTGCATTAATGACTTTCTTTAATGAACACTCAACAAGTCTGAATTTATTAAACTCGTATTTATTTAAAACAATAGACATGGTAAGGCTAACAGCGCTGTTTCGGGAAGTCCATCTTCAGGGCCTATAAAAATAAGAATAGCATGAAATATTTTTATAAAATTAGAATGCATATTAAATGTATGTGTAATAAAATTATTAAGAAAATAACGAGAAACCTTTGTTAGTGAAAACAATGCAAAACATGTACAAATTAAATTTATGGTTAAAAATATAAATGTATATAAAAAGTTAGTAAAATAGTATTAAATTAAATATTAAAACAAATGAATTAATACTGAATAATTAATATAGACTATTTATGAAAAATATAATGGAATAAGATAAAATAAATGAAATAAAATGAAAAAATAAAATAAAATAAAAATAAAACAAGTAATTGTAATGTATCACAGCTAATATGGATGTTAAGATGCACTGTCGAATAACGAAACCAGCGATACGGAAACATTAGTCCTATGACGAAAAGGTAACATATTCGCCATTAAACAGTATCGCTTCTTTTGGCATTGGCTCGTATTCGAAGTGGCGCAACATTGGTGGTTCTAGGATATTGGTATGAACGGCACGTTGTGGACTATCATGTCTATACTGGGAGTAAAGATGTAGGCTATGATCAAATGAATAAATTGTTTATTCATAACGGGTTTATTCTTGTAGATGTATAAAGCTTCTTTAATTTTGAGGCGAACTGGGTGCGATTCACGTTCAAGTATTTTCGTGTTAACATCAAGTAATGCTCTGGTTAGTGGCAAACCGTGAGATTTGAGCATATGATATGCTTTTTATTTTTATTTTATTTTTTCATTTTATTTCATTTATTTTATCTTATTCCATTATATTTTTCATAAATAGTCTATATTCCAATTTAATCTAATTTAGTTGTTTCATTTACGGATTCGTTTATTAAAAATTTCTTATATATCATTATAAACTTAATAATTAATTTTGACAATTTTCCATATTCTTTCCACACATGTCTTCTTTTCACATTCAACTAACTTATTTACGTTTTATTTACATCATCCGATTTTAACAAATTTTCACCGAACTAAACTTCAGTATTAATTCATTTGTTTTAATATTTAATTTAATACTATTTTACTAACTTTTTATATACATTTATATTTTTAACCATAAATTTAATTTGTACATGTTTTGCATTGTTTTCACTAACAAAGGTTTCTCGTTATTTTCTTAATAATTTTATTACACATACATTTAATATGCATTCTAATTTTATAAAAATATTTCATGCTATTCTTATTTTCATAGGCTCTGAAGATGGACTTCCCGAAACAGCGCTGTTAGCCTTACCATGTCTATTGTTTTAAATAAATACGAGTTTAATAAATTCAGACTTGTTGAGTGTTCATTAAAGAAAGTCATTAATGCAAAATGGGCATATATCTTCAATAATGTTTGTATTAAAGAAAACCTCGTTCCGAAATATATATATATATATATATATATAATATATATATATAATTTGGAATTGTTGTAAATCGTATTTATTGAGAACTAGTGACATTATTTGACTGGCTAACAACGTTGTTTCGGTGTAAACACCATCTTCAGAGCCCTGTGTGAGATATAAATATTAAAATAAATGGAAATGTAAACCATATAAAATAAAATAAAATAAAATTATTTCACTAGTTCTCAATAAATACGATTTAGAAAAATTCCATATCGTTGAGTGTATTTTTAAAAAGTTAATTAATGCTAAGTTATAGTTTTTAATATTATTTTTGTTGTTGGTGGTGGTGCCGTTGTTGTTGTTGTTATTATCATTATTGTTATTATCATCATTGTTAGATTGCTGATTGATCCGATTAACGTTATTGTTGTTCATTCTTCGAGTTGGAAGTGTTGTTGTGATTCGTGGAACCTTTTTTAAGAGTTTACAAATCACAATTATTGATGATAATCACAGCATGTTCGGCGTTAGTTAACTTACAATTTAACTTTTAGATTTTTCTAAAGGTTGATCGTAAATCATTTACAAGTTTCTTTAGCTTAAAACCAAAATTTTTGTTTATTTTATGCATATGATTTAAGTTTGAAAGTAAATAGCTGCATTTAAAATTTTTCATCATATATATATATATATATATATATATATATATATATATATATATATATATATATATACTGTACCTATCGAAAATTTAAATTGAAAGTTAACTAACGCCGAACACGCTGTGATTTTCATCAATAACTGTATTTCTGACAGTCTTAATCCAATATATATATATATATATATATATATATATATATATATATATATTGAGTAGAAGACCACGATCTAACCAGTATTTTATGAAATTCACTGATTTTTTAGCTTTAATTAATTTACAATTTAAAATATTAGTGTTACGTATTAGATGTCTAAGTTAAAAATTTAAATTTTAAAAAAGCAAAAAGCAATTGTTATTATTATTCATATTTTATTATAAACTTATTACATCTATTTTAATAAAAAATTTATCATGATTATATTAAGAAAATTAAACAGAAAATGCCGTTTGAATGGAACTCTAGTACAACACTGCCGTTGTACAAAGGTAAAGGTGACTCTTTGAGTGTTATTCTTATCGGAATATACATCTTTATAGGAACACCTCTAGAAAATCATTGAAAAGATCATCAAGAGAAGGCTATCATCGTGCAATTTAATTTGTAATTATCAATTCGGCTTTGTGGCAGAGAGATCCACATCTATGCAATCTATATCATCCGTCAGCTACAGGAAAAGTATCTGGCAAAGCAAAAACAACTATTCCATTCCACAATCTAGAGAAAGGTAGAAAAGCTTTTGACAGAGTGCCTCGTGATGGGACAATAATCTTAGTCAAAAATCGTCAGGTGCCTGGTACCCGACCACAGTATTGCTTTAAGAAGTCTTGGATGCACACTAAACAGAAAGACTTGAAGGCACTAAATCTCAGGGAGTTGGATGCAAATAAATCAAGAGACTTGGAGACAGAAATTGATGTCAGAAATACAAAAGTCCAACCTGAAACGAAAAAGGACTATAAACGATTGATTGAATTTAACGGAAATATTAACAAAAACAATTATAACTAATTCAAATATAAACAAAAAAAAGCAAATGCAAATTTAAATGGATTGTTGTCATGTTAAAACATCTGGTGGCGACGACACATCATCCACTCTTTACTACCACTAATGTAAACTAACACAGACAATCTTTGTCAGTATAAACATAACGATCAAATCACCACTCAATCAGCTTATCAAAATAAAACCTTCAACCTAAGACACCTAAGATAAAACATTAACAGTCAATAGCTGTTCATAGTTTAATTTTAACTTCGTTTATTTTTTTTCTCTAATGAACAAACTCTAATTTATTCATGTCATTAGTAGATTAGTTAATTGATTCATTTATTTGTTTCCATTTTGCATATTGTAACAACAGATATTTTAGTTAAACAAATAAAAAAAAACAATGCACCTAGTTTTGACAGAAAAGCCACAGCACTTATCTCGGACCTAAATTGCAGTGGTATCACCATCAACTTAATAAGAAATACATGTCGCAGTATTGTAGTAATTTTTTCACAAATATGAATGACACATGACATGGAAAATATAATAATATAGGGCAAAATCTTATGTCGGTACTGGGGAATTCCATTCAAACCAGTTGATTGACAGAAACAGAATAAAAAAAATTTTTCAATCACTTTTATTTGTTATTCATTTCAAAATAATTTCGAATATTTTTTCAAGATTACCAGTTGAATGGCAGAAACCGAAAGTTATATAACAATAATAAAAAAAATTTGTTTTCAATTCAATTGCAGGCACTGTCGTAGGATTGCCAATATTTTACAGGACAAGAAAAATTAAAAATTGCACTTTTAAACATCTTTTATTATATTACAACAGACAAGAACAAGTTATTAAAAAAGAGGAGGAGCTAAATGTCGCAAAATTTACCTAGATTTATTTTTAACTCTCTGTTTACAATTTTATTGGTTTACTCAGTACCAATCTAAAATTTTACCATATGTTATTACAAATAAGTGGTATTCACTGCAGGTGAAGTGAAAGAAAATATGTTGCGGTATTTATTCACTGCGTTTTAGTAAATTTTCAGCGGCGATTTTTACCGCCTTATTGACGACCATGAGAAAGCCTAAACCTAACCCTAACCCATGGATGTGTATATGACGTAGCCTCGTGGGCAAGTAACAGGTAACTTGTAACAGGCAATTTAGGTAAAACGTGAAATAAGTACTCCTATGGTATCCTCCATGTTTACAAACAATCATAATGTACTTTTAATAAATTAACTCCGCCCATTTTGAATTATCTAGCGCTTGATTATTTATTTATATCAAATTGAAAATAATTTAATACTTAATAGTTAATTCTTAGGTAAGTAATTTAATACAAGTTAATTTTTAGGTAAGTTTTTTAGATCATTACTTGTCAAATATCAATGGCTTATGGAGTGGTTCACAGGGTTAGGGTTAGGGCCTCCATTTTTAACAAAATTTTCAATCATTTCACAAATGAAAATNTAACCACTCCATATTTGTGAAATGATTGAAAATTTTGTTAAAAAGGGAAGACATAACCCTAACCCAGTTGTTAACCACTCCATAAGCCATTGATTGTTATCAAAACAGAAATTTACTCATATTTTAACTTTTTTTTATTTAATATTCACTATTTCAACTATTTGACAAGTAATGATCTAAAAAAAATTACCTAATTAAATTATTTTCAATTTGATAAATAAATAATCAAGCGCTTGATAATTCAAAAGGGAGGATTAATTTATTAAAAGTACATTATGATATATATGATTATTTGTAAACATGGACGATACCATAGGAGTACCTATATCACGTTTTACCGGCAATTTATATTATTAGATGACAAAAAAATTTTACAAATTTTAAACTTTGTAGTAAACTCACGGACAAAACTATCCTTTTCTGCTTATCGTGCAATTGATATTTGTCAGACAAGTATTCTAATAAGCAGCGAGTGAAAGTATAAACAAACTTAAAAGTGAACTTATAATTCTAGATGTATAATAATCAAGCTGGGGTGTATCAATCATGAAATCAATGGTGGGTTCCGATCCATAACGTATATCAAATTTTATATTTTATTAAATTTTAAATTATTAAATTGTTTTGATATTGATAGCGTAATGGCACACATGCATAATACACATGAGCAAGTCGGGGCGTTTAGGTTCAATTAATAGATCTGAAGTACTTAGGAAATAATTTTGAATGAGACTTATAAATGAATGAGCAAATTTTAAAAATGCATAAATATATGTACATCAATCAATATTCAATCATTCTGTTTATAAAACGTTATTTCCGCGATGTTTAACCATGTGTTCAACAGCGCTCCTCAATTAAATTTGCAAACAAATGGGTCTTAAGATCCGCTCTGAACTTCGTAGGGGAAGGAGAAATAGTAAGAGAAGGAGGTAGAAAGTTAGAAAAAAGTTTTTAATACGAGTTAAGAAGTGAGAACAAGGAGACGATCATAAGCCAGGTCGTTTAGGTTCAATTAATAGATCTGAAGCTCTTAGGAAATAATTTAGATTGAGACTTATACATATATGTGCAAATTTTAAAAATTATTTCTTTATTTTATAGTTTGACAACAAGATATGGAGATATATGGGAAAAGATAGGGGCACGAGCAGCAGAGTTGAAAGCTTTAGGTTTCAGACCTGCTCACAGTACTGAAACTTCTTTACTCAAACTACACAATGATATCTTTTTCTCTAGTGACAATAGTAATCTTACTCTTCTTCTTGCTCTTGACTTTTCCTCGGCTTTTGATACTGTTGACCTACTATTCTCTTGAGACTGCTGCATCTTTCTTTTAATATTACTGATTCTTGTCTATCTTGGTTTTTTTCTTATCTCTGTAATCGTTTTTCTTCTGTTGTAATTCTACTTCTAACTCCTCTACTCTTACTTTCGGGGTACCTCAGGGTTCTATCCTTGGCCCTCTTCTATTTATACTCTATACTTCTGAACTACCACGTATTATTAATAACTTTTCTTTCTCTAGTCAACTATATGCTGATGATTCTTACATTTATACTTCTTTTCCTCCTTCTAATCTCAATAGTGTTCTTCATAATTTATCTCTATGTCTTTCTTTAATTATTGCTTGGTCTGACTCTATGTGTCTTAAACTTAATCCTTCTAAGTTTGAATTAATTTGTTTTAATAAATCTAAACACTCTATTACTATTCCTCTTATTAACTTACCTGATTCTAAAACTCTTGATGTCTCTCATAAGTTTCGTAGTCTAGGTTTTATCTTTGATTCTACTATGTCTCTCTCTTCTCAGATTAACAGTGTTGCTAGAAGCTCTTACTTTCATCTACGTAGAGTAAAAAAACTTTTGCCTTTTCTTGATGATCCTACTCTTCTCCTTCTTGTTACTTCGTTAGTCTTATCTAGGATTGATTATTGTAACTCGCTCTACTATGGTCTTCCTGACTCTATACTCTATCCTTTAAGTAAAGCTCTTAACTCTGCTGCTCGTCTAGTTGCTCGTGTCCCTTTCTTTTCTCATATATCTCCATATCTTGTTCTCTTGCACTGGCTACCTATAAAATATAGAATAATTTTTAAAATTTGCACGTTCGTGTATAAGTCTCAATCTAAATTATTTCCTAAGTATTTATCAGATATATTAATTGAACCTAAACGCCTCGGTTTACGATCGTCTTCTTCTTCTCGCTTTTTCTTAACTCGTGTTAAACACTCTTTTGCCAAATCTGCTTTTGCTTTTTCTGGTCCTTTTCTCTGGAACTCTCTACCTACTTCTCTGACTACTTCTCCATCACTTGCGAAGTTCAGAGCGAATCTCAAGACCCATCTGTTTTCAAAATTCATTGAGGAGCGCTGTTGAACATCGCGGAAATAGCGCCTTATAAGCTAATTGATTGATTGATTGATTGATTGATTGATTGATTGATTGATTGATTGATTGATTGATTGATTGATTGATTGATTGATTGGTTTAGGATAGAATGTAGAAGAACCAGGAAGACTATCACTATACTATAGCATAGTAGAGCGAGTTACAATGATAATAATCAATCCTAACAAAACTGAAGTAACAAGAAGAAGAGTAGGATCGTCAAGAAATACATATGATAATAGCCCGTTAGCTTTATTAAGCAAAATGATCTTCTTTTTAATTGATATTTTTTTCACTTTCAACCGTATATTGACGAAGGTAATGTTCACGACGGTTTCGGCGACGGTGAAGCATATCTAACAGGCGGAACCAATATTGTCAAATTGGCCGAACAGTTTGAACTAATAAATTTTTGTTTAATAAAAATACGCGGAATTACTAAAAACTAACATTGTTACATAAGAATCTGCGTTCCGTTATTATTTTGAAACGATACATAACGATACGATGACGAGGTATTGAAGCCTATATAAAATCATCATGTGCACGAGTATGTGCACAAGTTGTATGATGATTTTTGAGTTTTTGAAAGATAGTATTTAAACCAAGACATTGTGCAATAACAATGACGCTTGGCACATTTACAGTTTGCCCTAATATGTTTTCCCGCCAACTCCGCTTTACACAATGTACTGTTTTAAAACAGAAAAAAGTTAAAGGTCAATTACACTATCCAAAGTTCAGAGGATTCAACAGAGCGCACAAACATCTTAAATGAATACGTGCTAAATGAAGCATCACACACGAAACATGTGATAGGCGGGGATCTTTTTGTCACATCCGAACCTGGTTACTGCGAAACAGCACCAGGCGACCTTAACCATTAGACCATCACGCCGCCCAGTCATTCCGCCCAGAAAACAGTCATTCAATTAAAAAATTAAACAAAAGTTACTTTTCTTTCTGCTAATAGTTTTTTTTGCAATTATATCGATTCGACACATTGTAATAACGGTACGAGACAAAAAATGTTTTTTTCGTATTTTTTATTTGATACGAGACTTTTTGGAGAATGTCTCGTTTTAATAACGATACGATATTTTTAGAGTCTTTATTAAACCAAAGTCATTCAAGTGGGAAAAATTAAATAAGTTTCAATTTTTTATAATCCTTTATTTCCTTTATTTTTTAACAATTTCCACACATTGAAATAATCGTACGAAACGAAAATTGTGTCTTGTATTTTTTATTTCGACATGATAGACTTTCCTGAAAATGTCTTGTTTAAATAACGATAGGAGATTTCTGGTATTGTTATTAAAGGATACAAGATTTTTCGTATCGTTTTATAACGATACAAGATTTCTTTTATCGTTATTATTATTAAATCTCGATTGATAACGAAAATAACGGTTCGAGATGCAGGTGCATAGTATTAGATTATATATATTATTTTGTTTACATTATAATGCAATTTAAAAATTGTTAAGTATATTATCGAATATTTTAAAATTGTGTTATACTTACTTTAATTTATAAATTAATTTAATAAACTCGGTGAATTAAACAGGAACTGCAAAAAAGTTTAGACTTAATTATGGAAGTTTTTGGTCCTTGTTATTATCTCGCAAACAACCTAAGTGCACCACAGTTTTGAAGTTTCCTGCATCTGATGTGTTACAACGTCATTCCTTTTTTTGCTAGTAGTATAGTTTATAATTTGATTAACACAAATTGGCAATACCAAAATAGAATACCGTGATTGTACTTGTTGGATTTTTTAAAATTTCAAATGTTTTTTTCAGATTATGCTTTGAAATGGAATAAAATTAAAAAAAAAAAACTTCAAAAATTATGCTGCATGTTTAAACTCTAATAGTACTTTCTAAAGAAATGTTAATGTTTTAATTTTCGTGTTTTAATTCGCGGCATTTTTCCTTTTTTAAACGAGTTATTTGCTACAAATTTGTGTATCAGATCCCAGTTTTTTTGTTGGCTTCTCTAAAAAGATTTACATTTATACTAATATAAATTGTTTTAATTTCACACGTTGTGGTAGTTGATGACTCAACTTCATTCATTGTTTTTTTGGCCCAAGGTGACATAGAAATTACACCACAAAATGGACCGGATTTGCGTACATCCAGATGTTTATATTTCGGCAGTAAATACCGTCAGTGAAACAAGACGTTCAATCCAGGACGTTGCTCGTCAATAGTTTTATTTTTATGATGCTGCGTCACATCAGAATTAGTCTAACGGAGGCATTAGTCCATTGTTAACAGCTCAGCGTAATCGACAAATTTTTACTGTTAATTTGGAACAAGAAATAGCGAAAGGTATAGGCAGAGAAAAGTTACTAAAGGTTTTTTTTATAACTAAAAATTGTACGAAGCCACAAAAAATAAATGTTACGATAACTATATCTGTTAGCGATATTGGTACCTGTAGCGTGCACTTACCAATTTATGCACATACACATATATATATATCTATCATAATCCATGGGCTAGTAATACTTGGTACATATATATATATATTTATTCAATCGCTAGGGTTTGCACTTTTTTGGTGCTATACGTTTTTCTTTTATTATTATAACGTATTATTATATTTTTTTGTGTTTTCATACATTTCAATTAAAGCTAAAACTTATATTTTATAAATATGTTTTATTAATTTGTCGCAAAAACACTACAGTTCATTATATTTTACCACGTATATATAGTTAAAATTAATACGCTTGTCAATCTGTACTATTCACAATTATAGTCATCACAATCTTTTTTTTAATTTAAAATATTTAAATTTCACTTTTTGCTGCAATTGCACTAGTATTTGTTAATTTTGAGCTAAAATAAAAAACAATTTTTTTTTTTGTAAATTTATATGTTCACGCGTTAAAGAACTATAGTTCAATTACTGTGCAATGCATATTATTCATTAAACGAATCAACATTTTTATTAAATTACAGTCTAGTTTGGATGAACAGGATTGGTTTGGCCAAGCTTGCAGGAGCCTAAAGCAGAGAAATAACTTCACCAATCGAAAGCGGTAAATGCACTGTCGAAAATGTAAAAAACCAGTGATAACATTAAAAAAATTAAAATTCCCAGATTGCATGACTTATTGCGGAAGAGTAAACGCTTTTTAGGGTTAACTGAAAATAGTCCCAAAGGAAACGATGAATCTTTACAAAACCTACAAAGCATAACAACATGCAACAAAAATGCCTTAGCCAAGTGGTTGGTTGATAACAAAACAATCGTCCGCAGCAACAGAGATGATATCCTAAAGATACTGCAAGATAATATAACTGACATACAATGTTTGTTGTAGCAAGAATATAACACTGATTTCATCAATGAAACACAACTACAAGCCACTCAGGCATCACATGGTGAATGTGTTGCAATTGTTGAAAACAATTCGCCGGCAGGAGGTATTGATATATCATTTATAATGGGAGAAAGTTTTGTTTTATATGATATTTTAGAGGAAGAAATTGTCTATTAGAATATTTAAATATTTTTGAGATGCACACATAAATGGATTTTTGGCGATTTCTCAACTATCCCGTTACCGATGTCGCAAATTTAGAAATGTATGGGTAACGCGTTCAATCCAATATTTGAGAATGTGCACAAAACGGGAGAAAGATTTCTTTTATATGGTATTTTAGAGGATAAAATTGTCTATAAGAATATACAAGTATTTTTGAGATGCACACATAAATGGATTTTTGGCGATTTTTTAACTTTTTCGTTACCGATTACGCAAATTTGAAAATATATGGGTAACGCGTTCAATCAAATATTTGGGAATGTGCACAAAACGGGAGAAAGTTTTTTTTCATATGGTATTTTAGAGGATAATTGTCTATTAGAATATACAAGTATTTTTGAGATGCACACATAAATGGAT